GCCAGCTGCGGCGGCCCCTGGGTGGTTAGTCGTGGCCTGGAAGCCCGAGAGCTCTTCCAAAACGGCCTTCGCTGGACGGGCCCAGCTGGTGGGAGCTGCCTGGTAATGGAATCTGAGGCTCCGGCAGGCCAAGCCGGCGAGACGCGTCTGCAGGCAAGGGAGGCGCAGGGAGCTCCTGGCTCAGGATTCGGGCAAGACCGGGGTGGGGTCAGTTGACCGAGAAGCTGCCTCCGGTCTCCGTAAACGAGTCTGGCTATTTCTGCTTGTTTGAATTTGGATATCCTGGCATCCTTGCCAGCCCCCTCTCCCCTGCCATCCTCTGCTTCTTCCTCGCCGAAACAGCAAAAAAGCGATGCCAGGGATGACCTAATGGCCGAGTGCCTCTGGGCGTATGCGGAGTGTCTTTCTCGCATGCCCGAATAAGTACAGCCGATTACTAAGCAGCTGACGCAAGGGAAAATCCTGCTGCGCCAGGCAGGTTGTTAGCTGACACAAACGAAGGGGAAGGTCCCTTCAAAGGACTCCTGGTGTCAAGGGAAGTCCCGGTGGACTCGCCCGGTGGTCTTGGACCGCCACACCGAGGGGCTGATCGCTGCCTTCCTGCGATACGTTTTTTACCCTCCCAGACTAGCCTGGGGGTCTTCCCAAACCTCCATTGGCCTACCGGAGATTCACTTCGGCAGGACGGGCTCGGCTTGCTAGCACCACAGCCCCAGACCAGTGCTGCGATGGCCGGGACAAGCCTGCTGACGCAGGGGCCTCCAGAGGATCCCGAGGCAAGCACAAAAGGAGACCTGGCTCGCCCTCCCAGCGGTCCTATCCTTTCCCAGGCTTCTCCGGGCGGGCGCGACGCGGCAGAGACCTCACCGCTCCCTGCGCTGAAAAGGCCCCAGGTGCCCGCTTGCCCCCCGCCCCGCGCGTTGAGCGTGTTGGGGTGACCCGACCCGTGGCAGTGCAAGGCTGCCCGAAGCTGTTCAGGCCCGGTCGCAGGCAGGGGCTGACGGGGCACGTGCCGCTCGCTGCTTCCTCAGCTAGGCTCCAGGGCCAGCTGCCGCTTCTGCTGGCAGCGGCTGTGCCGGGAACGGGGAACTCCAGGGATGCTCTGACCTGGCCAAGGGGATGCCCAGGCCTGGAGATGCCGCCGTCTTGGCAGGGTCATTCTTAGCAAGCAGCACCACCTTGGTGAGCTTAGATTGGCCTCTCCTGCTGGGGTGGGGGCAGTTGGAGACTGAGGTCCAAAGCCTCCTGGGGTGGGGGTGTTGGAGAACAAACGCCCCTTCCCCCGAAGTCGGCAAACTTCTATCCTAGAAACCTGCATGGAAGCCCCCCGGGGCCGGGCTGTTCAGTGGTCACCACCTTCTCCAATAGGGTCCCAGGTCCTCCCGCAGGACTTGGACCTTCCTCTGTAGCCACTCTGGTCCGCTTGGAGGGCTTTCCGTCACTGCAGGCCTCCAACAGCTGTGGAGAGGGGGGACCATCCATTGCACCTACTCCAGAAGGCCGGGCTGCTTCTCCTGGAGGCCGACAAAATGGTCAAAGTCACGCCAGTGCTCTGCCCGGGCTAGGGGACCCCTACCCTGGAGCCCGGGGACTCACTGCTGAAGTGCGGGAAGTGGCCCCCAAGACCCTGCGGGGGGGCTATAGTAATTCCACGGTACGGGGGGAGTGTTCTTCTTCGTCCACTGATTAAGTGGTTATTAAATGTTTGCATCCATGGCAGCCGCACTAAACCTCGGTTGCTACCCTGACTGCCCTGAACAGCTCCCGGCAGGGAAACGGGAGCACTAGCAAGGTCGCGGTTTCCTTGCTCCGCAAACAAGGCGGTCAGACGCAGGATGGGCTGCTCCCCTCCCATCTTCCATATCGGGGGTACGGGTCAAAACGGACCCTGCTCGCGAGATCCAGGTCCAGCCCACCGGTGTGAGCGACGGGACTACTCGGAAGTAACCGTCTCTCTTCCCAGGACCCGACGGCTGCTCACTGTCAGCTTCTGGAACTTTTTGCTACAAACCGGCCTGAATTGGGGCCCTGGCTCTTTCTTCGCCTTTTGAGAAGGAGAAGCGCCAAAAGACGTTCCGGCCCGCAGCTGTCAAAAGACGCTGAGAGCAGGTCTTGTCCCGGTCGACCCGCCCGCTCGCCCGCCGTTTTTCCGCCAATTTTTCTGAGAGCCGGGTCCCGCAACTGCAAGCGCCAACTCCCGCGGCCGCTCTTCACCCGGCCGGAACTCCTGCTCGCTCTGGAGCGTCGGCCAGGAGAA